GCCGTGATCGATCAACATTCGTCGGTGTATATACGACGCATATCGCGTCTAATTTTTCTCTCTTCTTCCACGCGTCCCGCGGTTTTCCCTCTCGTTTCGATTGCTTCTTCCAGATTCAGCACTGACTCATCAAAGAATTCTCGGTCGTTTAAAGTTACGAGCAAACGACGGACACCCTGCAAACGATCTTTCACAATGGACAACTTGGGCCGCTTTTCCCCTCTCTTTCTCTATACGTGTGTGTGTATGTGTGTGTGTGTGTGCGTTTGTACGTGTTTGTTTTGTTGTACATACGCGTGTGTACGTGTGAGTATACATCATAACTTGAACTCCTCTCTCCTCTTATATGGATGGATAAAGATAATTGTGTGTAGATGATGGATACGTGTGGTGAAGATAGATTCTTTTAATATACTGAATATATGAGAATCGGTGTCGCGTTCGCTCGTTCCTTTCTGTGCCGTGTGCAGAATCCGCAAAGACGACTCGCGAATATCCGTGGCGCGAGTTACACGATAAAATAAACCGACGACAAACTGACAGACAGCAAGTAGACGAAGGAGCTTAGGCGACGATGCTTCGCTTAGGTCATATATCGCATCACGGCGCGAAGCGCGTACAATAGCTCGGCTTGCATTCGTGCCTCCAGGATCATCAGGTTCACGTGGACCTGAAAGTAAAAGGATTGATTATGTAGAGTGGTGATTTATGTATTTTTGTGACATGACAAGAGAATTTTGTAATACCTTTTATTTTTCTCGTTTTAATTAGTTATCTTTAAGATAATTTGACAAATTATGCAAAATGTTTATCAAAATAATACGTATATAGGAAGGGAAAAGTTAAAATGAATATTTCATCGATCTTCCTTTTTTTTTTTTTATATATATATATAACTTGAAATATTTTTTTCAAGTTTTATTCTTCTAATGAAAAAAATCTATATTTAATAGCTAAACTATGGATGTTTATGCAAATTCGTATTTTTATGGATGCAGCTAAGAAACTTGATTCATCTGTTAAATAATACAATACGTACACTCCCGTCCATAAATCCTCAGACAATCAACAATGTTTCTGAATATAGACAAATGAAAATTATAATTGTAATGTTTTTCAACAATATTAACATAAATTTACTTTCATTTTAAGCATCAAACAATAATGACACTTATTATTAAAATATTATTAAAATATGTGAATAGATTAATTCACAAATTGATACCTCAAAACAATTTTTGTCCATCACAAAAATATAATTCAATCTATGAATGCTTCAATTTCTTATTAAATGTTACTATATTAAAGAAAAAAATCGAATCGATACGAAATCTGGTATTAAAACATTTACAACAATTAATTCACGAATTAAAATTGTTTATAATCAATTAACAAATCCCCAATGATTCGTGGACGAGTGTGTCACCATACTCGATACATTCTTTTTTATATTTCTAGAACTGCATTCCATATATTCCTACGTAATTAAATTTTCCCCCATATCCATAAACATTCTATAATCTATAACCCGGCAAAAATGCGATAAAATCGAACGAAATCCCCCGGTTTTGACCCGTGAAATAGCAACACGTGAAATATGTACATAACACTCGAAGCAGGGAAATCATATGTAAATAGCATTATGCATATCTCCTTACGTAAACCTGAGTCGGCTCAAAATCGACAAACATTTATACACACGCGGTGATAAACAGGCACGTGGTTAAGGCTACCAACCTTCTCGCTGTGCTTGAATTCCCTCATCACGCGATCGTAATCCCTTTTGGTCACGCGTTCAGGGTAACAAACGGCGCTCTTGATGAACGTCTTCAGGCTGCGCTCGAGGAGCTGGTTAACCTCGTTGTAATCGTAATCGTCGTGCCTGATACCGAACATGCACTGAATGTAATTCCAGATCGCCCGTCTGAAACGGGACGTGTCCACCTTGCTGTGCGTGCCCATCGTGTAATAGGTGAGATTGTACGCCGTTTTGAATTTGTCGTCGAGCAGATTACCGACGTCGTTGTAGAGGCGGTTCACCAATGAATAACCATGATCGTCCCATGAGTAGTCTTGCACGCGGAACGTGGGTATGTCGCTCAATTGGCCACGCTGAAACAAAAAATTAATTTATTGGTTAGAGAAAGAATTAGAAGATTAGAAGGAAAGATTAGAGGAGGTTGCAGAAAAATTTGTTGAGTTTGGGGATACATATATGATATGTGCTTTAATTTTAAAATTTAAATTGTGAACAGGAGAATGATAAATTTTGTTGCTTTTTACGATTTGGAAAGGCTAGGTTCGTTAATGAAATAGAATTCTTTTTTAAGGATGAGAGGTATTCGATATGAACTTTGAAACTTTCGAAATTCGGATAGAATAATTTGTTAAAATACTATTTCTTGACGAAATAAATAAATAATTAATGATAGGATATTCGAAACTTTCTTGGAAAAATATATTCTCTTTTTTAATTTTGAATTCGAGAATTTGAATTTGATTTGGACAAAGTTTCGTATTCACAAGATTCATAAATCTAGAGATATGCTTTTTACTTATCTCTATCTTAACAATATAATTTTTGAGAAAGCACTTTCTTGACTATTAATTTTCAAACATCCAAATGTTTACGCAAGATTTAAGTATTGTTGAATCGCAGAGGAAATGAGATTCCTTTTTTTTGTTCATACGCGAAAATTCGAGCGTTTAAATTAATCGATTGCGATTGTATATATATATATATATATATATATATATATATATATATA